GTATTATATTATTATGCAGAATTATACTGTTATAGGCACTCAAAATAATTTGTTAAATAAAGTAATGCTTTCTTTATCAGAGATCATTGGTAAATGATCTCACGTCCATTAATTGTAATTAGATAGTTTTAGATGATCACCTAATGGGAGTGTTGCTGCATCAGTAGTGAAGCCAGAAAGGAAGAGAGTGTAAAATGTAGTGTATTGGAAGAGTAAATTTTAGAGTCAGAGTGAGAGTTTGAATGATTTGTTACGGGCTTTGTGAACTGCTGTCATTAGAACCAAGCTCCTCTTTTTTCTGTAAATAGGATATATATACACACACACACACACACACACACACACACACACACACACATACATATATATATGTATATATTATGTGTGTGTGTATATATATATATATCACTGACTTGTTGGAGGATTAAAATGGAACACATATATATTCCCTAGCACTTTATGAATAGTAGTTTTTTTCCCTCGTTCAGAGATTTTTTCCCTTTCTATGGTTCTCTTTTGGTAACTATACGTACATGGTATTGATGTCCATAATTTTTACTCTAGTTTTGATATTCAGAGTTGTTGCCAGTTATTTCAAGGAATATTATCAAATATTATGAAAATAATAGAAGTAGATGGTGAGGACTTGAATTGTGTGTGTCAAGTACTATGATAAGGGCCTATAATTTTCATTTTATCCTTTTTATAACTCCCGGAGATCGATACTAGTATTGTTAATGTTTTAAGATGAGAAAATTGCAGTTTTTAGAGCTTGCCCAATGACCTTAATAAGTAGTAGATATTAATCTCTGACTAATTGTGACGCACTAGTTACTAAATAGTATAATCGGTTGCCTCTATAATTCATTTTTGGATGATAATAATAGTTAACATGCATTGAGCATTTGTTATCTCCTAGGATTATTCTGAATATATACTTTGTTTCATTTACTCTGCACACTGATTTTCTGAAGAAGGTACTCTTATTTTCCCCCATTTTACCAATGACAAGGTATAAAGAAATTAACTTGCCAAAAATTATAATTCTAGGAAAGTGGTAGGATAGAGATTCAAATTCAACCAGCCACTCTTAAACATCTTACTAAAGGGTGCTGTTGTAGTAAAGTAAGGCAGTGTTACAATGACTTATTAAAATAATGGTCTTTACAGTGAGCAGTTTTAACCAAGCCTTTATATGGAACCAGAAAAAAATCTTTCTTAAAAATCTAAGTGAGGCCCTCCCTGGTGGTGCAGCCGGTTAAAGCACAGCACTGAGAAGCTAAAGCCACTCCCGCATGAGTTCAATTCCCGCCTGCCCTGGAGGTGACCCCATGGCATGGCAGACTTCTCCTGACCCGCCCGCCCGCTGCTCCCCTCAGCAGTGTACTTCTAGATCTGCCTGTTCTGCTCCCCACTCTGTCTCTGGTGAAGCCTCTCGCCGCCCCTGAGCCTCTGGCCTGTACCCCAGTTCTGTATGAACAAATAAATAAATCTTTAAAAAAAAAAATCTAAGTGAGGTGTAAGTGACATATGACTTGTTAGTTTCAAGTATACAAGACCTTAATTCTATAGTTGTATCTGTTAAGAGATGATTGTCATAAGTCGTTAACACCTGTGACCATACACAGTTAACAAGTTTTTTTTGTGTGTGATGAGAACAAGAACTCTTATTCTTAACAATAGATTGTAGTGTTTTTTTAAAGAGTATAAAAACGATTTAGCTTTTGCTTATCCACGAGGAATTTTAGGAATTGAGTATAGACTTTTTTTTTTTCAGCTTTAAGATACATTTTAGATATGATCGGTTTTAAAATTTTGTAATTTGGAAAGCACTTATTTTTCATTAATGAAAACTTTCAGTAGCATGATGTTAAATGGTGCTCTTTAATAATTGATAATATTAGCTGTGAGGATTTTATTAGTAGCTCATATATTAACCCAGTCATAGTTATAATGACCATTTTTAAGATAGCAGTATAGCTTGACTATTTATAGTATAAATCAAATTGCTATATAGTTGGTATATAACATCAGTTTAATGTGTGTAAGATATTGATTTGATACATCTATACTACAAAGATAGTTGCATTTTAAACCACATTAATTCAAGGCAAGGTAACTTTAATTATCATTTTCATAAAGTAACCATAGCCACCCTTACTATAATAACCCTTAAAAACATGGTGTATATATTCCATTCTCAGTACCTTTGCAATAATTCAAATGCAGATTTTGGTATTTGTGAAAATTCATCACCTCCGTGATACAAGTAGTCTCAAATTTCTCTATAAACAAAAGACTATCTTTATACAGCTCAGCTTTAGATAAAAGTCAGATTTGAAAAACAGGATTATGAAAAGGAAGATTAATTTATTTCATAATATTTTAAGCTTTTATATTGTTTACATGTGAGATTACAGTCAATGTAAGGTGGCTCTCATTTCCTTGTTTAGATTTTTTTTTTTTAACATGGGCTGTGTTGGGCTACTGTAATGGTTCTCACATAAATGAGTTTTGGAATAAAACCCAGAGACTTGGCTATGTTAGAAATACCATGGTAAACTCATAGTAGTAGAGAGAATGTGTTCTGGTCAAGGCAGCTTATTCGTGGTGTTAATTTCAGCGGCAGATCTAGGTCACAATCCATCTTCTGCATACTAAATACCTCCCCTAAAGCTTAAAATAACAGAATCTATTCAGATATTTTCTCTGTCGCTTTTTTTTTTCTGTGAAATTGCTAAAACATTTAGCAGAAGGTAATTAGATAACTCTTTTAAAATTGGTCTAACCTTTATATTTAATGGCATTAACATTTAGTTGCTTGGGAAAATTGCCCAAAGTAATGATGTGGTATATGGGGAAAGTATTTAAATTAAATTTAGGGTGAGAGGTATAAATGACTGTTGAGCATTTTAACAAATTCTGGAAAACTTAGTTGTATGTAGAATAAAAGACTGCTTTTTCCTTTGTCAATTTAAATGTTTGACTACGTTTTGATTTACAATTTAAAATGTTTGATTACATTGATATACATTTATATTTTGGCATATGGTCTTAATTTAATTACAAGTGATGTTTGCAAATGAAGGGTTTTCTTTTTGTTTAAAAACAAATATTACATAGAAATGAAAGTCATTTGTATGTATGCACTTTAAAATCTTTGGCTTGCATATTTAAATATTTTCAGTAGAAGATTTAATACCTGTTTAAGCTGGTGATTTGGAAGGATTTTGTGCAGAGTATTGAAAACACCTGATGTAGAAATTATAGAACATGTTTTTCCCAGATGTAGTAGTACTAGGGTCAGTATGTCAGAAACACTGTCGGTTGGGTGCATGTGTTCTGTATAGTAAATACCACACAAAGCTTGATGCTTTGTCAGGATGTTAACTTGGTATTTAATTCTAAAGACTTCTTGCTAGGTATATTTTTCAACTAGTAAATAAATTACACTGTTCTCTTTTGGGCTTGTCAATCTTTTTAATCCTTTAAATATTAAAAATAAAATTAAATTGTATGTTTATGATAGAAAATCAGAAAATACACATAAACAAAAAATAAGAAAGCTAAACATATATAAATCTATTACTGCCCTGAATAACTAGCATTAACACCTTGATGTGTCTATTTCCCCAGATATTTTTCTGTGTTGTATACATTCAAAATATATGTAGATCGATCAGTCAGACTTTTTCCTCCCTCTAGGCCCTTTGCTTCTACCTGAAATAATTTCCCTCAGATACTTAGGCCTCAACCTAAAAGTCACCTCCCAAAGAGAGCTTGCCCAGAATCCAGGGTAGCTTACTGATAGCTTTCTTTATTTTGTGCAGCTGGATTGAAGGTCTAAGAGAGTAGGAACACGGTCTAAGAGAGTAGGAACCCCGTCTGAGAGAGTAGGAACCCGGTCTGAGAGAGTAGGAACCCCATCTGTCTTAGCATCATCCTACTATCCATAAGTATCCCTGGCATGTAGGAGGTACTTAAAGAATGTTTAATGTTGTTAAACTGGAAACAAATATTAGATGTTCTGGAAAGAAAGGTAACATAATGGTATAGTAACAACTTAAAAAAATGTAGATTTACTGAATTAAAAATATGAACAGTTTTTAAAAGATGTTAAGAAAAAGAGAGGTAAGTAAGATATGTCTTTAATATTAGATTGCTAACAGACTAGAGGAAAAGTGGGAAATTAAGTAATAATAGTATGGTAAGTGCTGTGATAGGGGAAATAACAGGGTAATGGGTGGGGAAGAGAGTGGTTAGAGGTTTTTTGAAAGAGTGACAATGAAAGCAGCTTGTAACCTTGTAATTTGTTGTTTTTTTTTCATCTGAAATATAATTTGTTAATAGTTGGGTGCCATTTTATCAGTATGTAAGTTCCAGCACTTAATCAATAGACACTTAAAGCATTCCCTATTGTAATAAACACTGTCGTGGCTATCTTTATGTATCTTAGTTATTTTCTTTGGTAATTTTTACTTTGGAGTGGAATGTCTGTTTCCCAAGAATTAGAAATATTTTCCAGGGCTTTTGGTACATACTACCAAATTGCTGTTCATGGGAGTTGTACCAGTTTATACTTTCAACTACAATAGAGGAACAAATTAAAAAGACATCTTGGCAATTTGAAAGCAAAATGGTGTTTTACAACTCAATTTGCCTTTGCTTGACTTGTCAAATGTGTGATAATTTGTAGCTGACAACAAAATATGATAAGCTGAAATTTTAGATCTTGCAATTGTTATTGAGCAGATCGCCCATCATGTGATATATATGAAATAACTTGCAAACTCCTTAGGGTTTTGATTGCAAGTCATATTCTCTGATTATTTTTGCATTATCTATTGTTTAACATAATTGTCAACCCAGGACATTATTGTATTTTAAACTTTTTTTCTCATTCATTTTATAAAAATGTAAGTTCTAACGGTAAATTCAGAGAAACTTGAGTATTTAATTGCCATTGAGTACCATAGACGTGTATATGTTGACACTAGCACTAGCAACTAACTTCTTTTTAATTATTGTGGCCAGAAACACCAGATGAAAATGGTAAAACCCAGAGAGCTGATGATTTTGTCTTGAAGAAAATAAAGAAGAAAAAGAAAAAGAAACACCGAGAAGACATGCGAGGAAGACGTCTTAAGATGTACAATAAGGAAGTACAAACCGTCTGCGCTGGCCTGACCCGCATCAGTAAGGAAATCCTCACCCAAGGACAGATAAATAGCACTTCAGGAGTTGATAAGGAGTCCTTCAGGTATCTGAAAGATGAACAACTGTGCCGATTAAATTTGGGCATGCAAGAATATCGGGTACCCCAGGGAGTACAAACACCTTTTATGACTCACCAGGAACATTCTATTCGTAGGAATTTTTTAAAAACAGGTACTAAATTTAGCAACTTTATTCATGAGGAACACCAGCCCAATGGTGGTGCTCTTGTCCTTCATGCCTACATGGATGAACTCTCATTTTTGTCTCCAATGGAGATGGAGAGATTTTCTGAGGAGTTTCTTGCTTTGACATTCAGTGAAAATGAGAAAAATGCTGCTTACTATGCTTTAGCAATAGTGCATGGAGCGGCTGCTTATCTCCCAGACTTCTTGGATTACTTTGCTTTTAATTTCCCCAACACTCCAGTGAAAATGGAAATTCTGGGCAAGAAAGATATCGAAACAACCACCATTTCAAATTTTCACACTCAGGTAAGGTAAAATCATTGTTAAATTATTTAGTAAGTATAGTTTTAGCCTCTATCAGCAGTATTAACTTCATTCTTTTGTGTAGCACATGCCAGCACACTTTTGATAAAAGTTTATGGTGGTAAAAGGTGGTTCATATTGTTTGTTTACTCCTCTAATAATAGATAAATCTTCATTGCTGAGTTCTTTGGGATGTGGCTTATTTCTTGCTTGGTATAAGAAGTACTTTATACATCATTATAAGTCTGTGGAAAATCAACTTGCAAAGTAATCAGTCCAGTCTTTTAGAACTCAGATGTTAGTATGGAAGATGTGATTTAGAGCTGGTAGTCGCAAGGTAACTTTAGTTCAGACTTACCTTTATGTCATAATTATTTGCCAGGATTTTGCTTTTACCTCTTTCAGTAACTTGTTGGCAGTCTATCCCAGAAACATACCCCGCTTCTGTGCTTGGAAGTGTCACCAGGAAGACCGCCATAGCCTCTGCTCCTTCTGCCTACGCACTATATTGCCGGTGAAGATATTTTCTGAAGCCTTGCTTGGGCAGCTAGGCTTAAGTCAGCAGGGAAACCGCTCCTTCCTAACTTCCTTTACCCAAACATTTTTTTTTATTGTTTATTAGGGCATAAAAAGTTGATTATGTGACCTAGGTTTTTTTTTTTTTTTTCCTTGTTTTGCTGTTCTCATAAGGATTATGGATATGAAAGGTCAGCTGTAAGTTTGTGTTATGGCTATAAACTACATAAGTGTAGTGGAGAGCATTTCACTCTTTGGATTTGTGGTCATATAACCTGTTTTTTTCAGGTTATCTAATAATTTGCTGCTGTACTTTCCCTTCAGATTTTTTTTTTTAGGCAAGTACTGTTGCACAATAAGACTCTCAGCTGCCTGCATTATAGTGGTTTCAAGCCACTTAAATTTATTTGAAACCTCCTCTAACTTGAATCTTTTTAGTGATTCGTACCATCCTTGCCTCCGATGAGGGGAGTATCCAGTTTAGATTTCTGAGCTTCAGAATTTCTCTAATTGAAGTTCTCTCTGCAGTAGAGAGAGCAGGAGCAGCCAGTCTGGAGAGGTCGCAAGATGGGGCTGCCCAAGACGTTGGAACACGATGTGCAGTAAAGGGCTTCGTCTTGGATTTTGGCCTTGTTACCACAATCAGGTACCGAAGTGCTGACTTTTGTAGTAGATTTTGTTTTTTCTTTTTCCTTTTTTTTTTTTAAGGAGTTTTGCCCTTTGAAGGTTAAGGAATTCTATTTTTATAAATATTATGGAAGAGACTGATAACAGTTCTCCTAATGTAGTCTGTAATCCCCTTAAGTCCCATTTAAAGAAGAAAGACATTGCTGAGAGCAGAATTAACACATGCTTATCACTTTTTTAGTCTAGAGAAATGCAGCAAATTTTCTTTTCTGATTGATAGACCAGCAAGCTTAATTGAAATAAGCAAGAAATTTTGGGGGAAAAGTTTTGGCTTTATGATGGTGACTTTTTAATTTTTGTATCAGTTAGTCTGTAGTGGAACAAACTTACATGTCAATAAATAGTATCTAATTAACAAAAGTAGAAACCTAAATATTCCCTGCTGATTTTTGTCCTCCAATTAATTTTTTTAATGGAGCTGAAATTTAAATGACTGTACCAACAACTTACCTTGAGATTTATTTTGAGAATGTTATTTAGAAAATAACATTTTTAAAAACATATCAGGTTATTTCTGAATTAGATATCCTTAAATACTTCAACCACATAAGTTTATTGAATAAGTCTCTTGCTCTGGTGAACCTGGAACTTTTTATTTATGAGAGAGAAGTCAGTGGAGAGAGGTAGGAGGTAGGGAGGTTTGTGTTTGTCCATGAAACTTTGAATTTGTTTGTACCTGTAAAGCCTTTGGCAGATAACTAGGGTGTGAACTAACACAATAGTGCAAATTTACTTAGCACTTCATGGCTTATGAATATGCACTCACATTTGTATTTGAATATTTGAAACAATCTGCAGGTTAGATAAGCAATTTTCTCTTCCCATTGAAGAAACTGAGGGTTGGAGATGTTCATTGTTATTCATGGTCATGTAGCTAGTGAGTAGAAATCAGGTGTGTAAACCTAGACCTCTCAAACATTATGTCCATAATTATACCATGCTCTTTTCTTTTGTCTTTGGAAAAGAGACTGTTCCTTTTATTGGTCTTAACTATACTTAGTGAAATTAAACTATCTTGTTTTAAAATAACTCAGTTGCTTTTATTTGAATATTTTTAGCAAATACCTCTCGGTTGTTGGGAATTAAGTAAATACCTTGGGTGTTTTGAATTCCCATGTTTTTTGAAATCTTATGAAATTCTGCTAAGCCTATAAATAAAGTAACATAAATTTCTTTTACTGCCTTAGCGACAGTTATTGCCAGGTACTTGTAGTTATGTATAGCCATGATAATTATTCATGTCTGTATTTCAAGATAGTTTATTCAGCAAACATTTATTGAGAACTTACCATTGTACTGGAGATTCTTCTTAAAAGACTAATTGATGAGCACAGTCTAATGGAGATTAATAAACCAGCAATTTTATAGTTTTATAAGTAATAAAAAAAAAAAGTATGCATAGAGTAAGCCCTGTAATAGAAGCAGTTTGTGCTGTTACCTAACTCAGACATGAGGTGATTAGAAAAGGCATTTTAAAGCATGTGGTGTTTGAGTAGAAGCTTGAGAGAACATCAGTTCTTAGCTTGGTAATGCTATTTTAAGCAAAGGGAGTACTAGCCCATGCACACAGAGGCACTCGAGAATATGGCACATTCAGGAAGCTAGAGATCGCTCAAGCAGGGCAAGAGTTTGTGTTTGTGGGGTGATGGGAGTTGAAACCAGAGAATTGACAAAGTTAAGATTATGAAGAGTTTCATATTATGTGCTAAAAGGTGGTATTTTTTTCCTAAAAATAAGGGATAGACAGATGAACAATAGATGAATCCCATTGTTTTTGGAAAGGTTGCAGGATAGGGTAAAAGGATGAGAGAGAAGAAGTGAGAATTTGGAAGCAAGAAGACGGGTTAGGTTACTGTGGTGACCATATCAGTAATGATCCATTTCCAAACTGCTGTGAGGGAGGGTGGGAATGAAATTTGAGAAATTAGAAAGTGCATTTAATTGTATTTGGTGAGGGAGAAGAATGATTTTGGACAAATGAGTGGAATGTGGTTTTGGACACAGAATCAATAGAGTTGTAAAAGCGCTATCTAGAGGTGGAAGGTGTTGACAAGTTCAGTTTGAGACATTTTGTGGAGGTGCCTTTGGAGACAAATGTCTATTAGGTGAATGTATCAATCTAAGATTGTGAGACTCCTCTATGCTGGAGATGTAGAGGTTGGACCCATCAGCCTTTATAGGTAGGTGACCCAGAGACAGCATTCGGATGGAAAAGGATGAAGCTAAAAATAAGATAGAGATAAAAGGAGGGGCAGAAAAAAGATGAGGATGCAAACTTTCTGGGTTTTTAGAATGATGGCATGATTAAAGTGTCAGATCCTTATGAGGAATCAAGAAAATGATGGGAAAAGTTAGGTTGCACAATTAGGAATTTAATTGGAAACATTAACATTAGAACTTTGCAAACCATGGTCGTCTAAGTATTGTAATTAAACTTTGTTTTTAAGAAGCTTTCTACTTAAAAGTGTACTCTGTGCATGAATGTGACATTTGGGAGTTTACTAGAAATGAAATCTCAGGCTACTACCCACATCTTCTGAATCAGAATATCCATTTTACCTAGATTTCCCAGGGTAATACACACACACACACAAACACACACACGTACATACATATACATTAAAGTTTGAGAAACACTAGTTTACAACTCATCTCCAGTAGCAGGAGAGAAGTTAACTGTAGGTTTTTGTGTGGGAAGATAATAGCTTCTGTTTGTTTGTTTTGAAATTGTTGTAATGTAGTATAGGTGGTTTTCTTTTAACGTTCTGTCAAACTCAAATATTCAACGCCAAAGGAGGTAAGTTCTTGATAAATACCAATTGAAGCATGAAGCATCTCTCAAATTTTAGTGCTTCACTCAGCACTTGATACAGGGTAACTTTGTAAGTTTGACCTCATCTAGAGGACTACATATATATTGACACACTATGGTATTTTAAATTTCTGTGGGATTATTCATGTCCAAATTGTAAATAATCGTTGACTAAATTGAAATTTTGATCCAAAAGCTTAAGTATTTGGGAATTCTTTTGGTCAGTTAATGGAGAAAAATTAGTGTCACTTACGAATGTATAGTTCCCTAAAATATATTTTGGTAATACATTTATTTTTTTTCTTAGATTATTGGCTACTTGAAAACTTTTTCAACTTTGAAGTGTGATAGTTTTGTGATAAGTATGCAGACCTTTCCTTCCCTCCTCATAAAAATCCTCTGGTAACTGATAAACTGACATAAGGACTCAAATATTATTCTAGTCATCTTGTGGGTTATTAGTATTTAGAACTGCGGTGGGAGCTGTTTCCAAGCCTTTGTTTTATTGATCAGAAGGTCACATTTGGTTGTTGCTTTTCCCAGGTTTAGTTTGAATAAAGATTCAAAGAGGAGTTGCTTTCTCCTCTGTCTCTGAGTGGTATTAAAATCTGATAGGTGAAGGATTGGCACATTCTTCAGTGCACATGTGAAAATGCAGGTTATTTTAGTCTGGGTTGGGACTTTACTGACTGTGTTTTGTAACTATGCCCGAGGCTGCTGCTACTGCTGGTTCACGAGCTAGCGAGGCTGTGGGTCTTAAATTCTATATGTCAGTTCCAAGGAAAAGCACTGAAAATACAGTGAAGTTAAATGGGGGATTGTTTAAATATCACCATCTGCAGCTATTTTCACCCTGTAGCAACTAAGCAAATGATGGGCGAATGTGGAGAAGGATGAACTGGTGCGTTTGTGTATGTGCTGGGGTAGAGGAAGAAAAAATCCCTGGGGCAATGGGGTTACGTTCTCTTCAGCTGGCATTTGTACATAT